CGTTTGGTATCGGGGCATTTTAACGAGTACGAGTACGAGTACAGGAGCTCAGTATCGGGCATCGGTATTGGTGCATCCCTAGCACACACACATGGAAACACACGGAAAAGCAAGAAATCAAACAAAAGTGTATGTACTGTACTGTTTTAGTTTCATTGGGTGTTTCCTTGGTCTTTTGTCTGCTGGTGTTTTGCACCAGCATGTTCTTTTTAGAATGGGCTCTGCAAACTATTAATGTTTTTAATTAAACTTTTCTTGTTGGTTGTTTAGCAGGGATATCTTTCTTTGTGGATCATGGTACTCTATATAATTGTTAGGTATTGAACAATACCATAGTTTGAAAAAATTCTGAATTGATGAATTAGCTCCCTTTGAATTTGAATTGGTCCCACCCAGAGAAATTTGAATGTCTGAAAGTGGAATTTAGTTAATGCCACTCTGGTACATTTACTCCATAGATTTAAAAAAAAAATAATTTTAGTATTATTATTATATATATATATATATATATACATTTTAATCTTTTAAAAATCCATTTTGAAAGAAATGAATATTTTGAGTAAAAATGTTTCCGTTTCCACAGAAATGCACTGTTTTCAACATTGATAATAATAAGAAATGGTTTTTGAGCAGCAAATCAGCATATTAGAATGATTCCTGAACGATCATGTGACACTAAAGACTGGGGTAATGACTTCAGAACAATAAATTATATTTCATTTCACAATATTACTCTTTTACTGAATTTTTTTTAATCAAATACATGCAACCTTGTTAAACATAAAAGAATTGTAAATGGTTAAAAAAAGGCTTTTGAATGGTAGTGTATATTTCTATGACGTTTCTATGACAGTCTATGACTGACATAGTGATCTGTTTGTCTGACTGTTTGTAAGGCCTAAAAAGCCTTTAAACTCTGACTTTAAACTTTAAGACAAGGATTCTTCAAGCCAGCATGGTAAGTTTTTATTTTAACGTACAGTATCTATGCTAAGTTAAAATGTACATTTATTAGTTATGCTGTATGAATTTCTTAAAATTGTATTCCATTTTAATTTAAATTAATTGAATTTGAATTGCAGTTGTGCATCCTGATTGCTACCTCAATTTACATGAAATTGCATTATAATAGCATTCTTAATTTAATTCTGAATGCTGCACAACGCTGGCCAATACAGCATGGTACTGACCATGCCAGTTGACTATGACTTTGCTACATTTGGAATTTTAAAACAGTCTAATGCAGTATTGTTTGAAAATTCAACATTGCAGTCAGGAATTGATCACATTTCATTCATTAACTGGAACAGAATAGACTGCAGTCCAGCTTCCCCTTTTCACTCACTGTTTTAACATTTAACACTCAGGATTTCATATTTGATCTTTAATGCACAAGAGAAAGGGCAAAGAATGAAAGGGGAAAGCAAAAGGAATCTGACATTATAAGGTCTGTATTCCCTTGATCCATCATAATTACTTCTAGGGAGAACAGATTCATG